ACTGGGAGGGACTGGAAATGGACTGGGAATGGACTGGGAGGGACTGGGATATACTGGGAATGGACTGGGAGGGACTGGGATATACTGGTTTATACTGGGAATGGACTGGGATGAACAGGAACAGCTCGGCCATGTTGTCGTACCTGGGACGGACTGGTTTGGACTGGTTTATACTGGTTTATACTGGGAGGGACTGGGATATACTGGGAATGGACTGGGAATGGACTGGGATGAACAGGAACAGCTCGGCCATGTTGTCGTACCTGGGATGGACTGGTTTGGACTGGGACGGACTGGTTTATACTGGGAGGGACTGGGATATACTGGGAATGGACTGGGAATGGATTGGGAATGGATTGGGAGGGACTGGGAGGGACTGGGATATACTGGGATATACTGGGAATGGATTGGTTTATACTGGGATGGACTGGGAGGGACTGGGATGCACTGGTTTGTACTGGGATGAACTGGAACAAAGTGGGACTAATCCCAACCCCAACCTCCTCCATCCCCATCCCAAAAGTCCCCAAAATCCCCCAAAATTCACCCCAAAAATCCCCAAAAATCCCCAAAATTCCCCAAAAATCCCCAAAATTCGCCCCAAAATTTGCCCCAAAAATCCCAAAAATCCCCAAAAATCCCCAAAATTGCCCAAATTCGCCCCAAATCGCCCCACTCACTTCTCCCTTTCCCGGGCGTTCTTGTAGAGCTTCACCTCCTGTGGGGAGAGGAGGCGGAAAATTCCCCAAAATTCCCGAAATTGCCAACAATTCCCGAAATTCCCAACAATTCCTGAAATTCCCAAAATACCCCAAAATCCAAAAAAATCCCCAAAAATTCCCCAAAATTCGCCAAAATTCCTCAAAATTCCCAAAATTCCACAAAATTCCCTAAAACTCCCAAAATTCCACAAAATTCCATAAAATTCCCAACAATTCCCCAAAATTCCCGAAATTTCCTGAAAATTCCCAAAACTCCCAAAAATTCCCCAAAATTTTCCAAAATTCACAGAAATTTCCAAAAATTCCCAAAATTCTACAAAATTCCAAATTTCCCAAAAATTCCTCAAAATTCCCCAAAATTCCCGAAATTTCCTGAAAATTCCCCAAAATTCCCGAACTTCCCAACAATTCCCAACAATTCCCCAAAAAATTCTGAAATTCCCAAAATTCCCAACAATTCCAAAGAATTCGCAAAAATTTCCCAAAATTCTCCAAATTTCCCAAAAATTTCCCAAAATTCCTGAAAATTCCCAAAATTACAGAAATCCCCCCAAATTCCCGAAAATTCCCAAAATTCCCGAAATCCCCCAAATTCCCCAAAATTCAAAAAAATCCCCAAAATTTCAAGGCTCAATCCCGCCCATTTCCGCCCGTCCTCGGCCATTTCCGGCCATTCTCGGCCACCCTCGGCCATTTCCGGCCACTTTCGGCCATTTCCGGCCACCCTCGGCCATTTCCGGCCACTCTCGGCCATTTCCGGCCACTCCCGCCCGTTCCCGCCCCGCGCTCACCTCGTAAAGCTCCGGTTTAGTCCCGGGCGCTGCCGTGCGAGGAAGGGAAGGGTTAAAAGGGGAAGGAACACCGGGAATGCCATCCCGGGAATTCCGGGATCATCCCGGGAATTCCGGGAATCCCGGGACCATCCCGGCCATCCCATCCCGGGAACCCCGGGACCATCCCGGGACCATCCCGGCCATCCCATCCCGGGAATACCGGGATCATCCCGGGACCATCCCGAGAATCCCGGCACCATCCCGGCCATCCCATCCCGGGAACCCCGGGATCATCCCGGCCATCCCATCCCGGGACCATCCCGGCCATCCCATCCCGGGAATCCCGGGACCATCCCGGCCATCCCATCCCGGGAATCCCGGGACCATCCCGGGACCGTCCCGGCCATCCCATCCCGGGAATACCGGGATCATCCCGGCCATCCCATCCCGAGAATCCCGGCACCATCCCGGCCATCCCATCCCGGGAATCCCGGGACCATCCCGGGATCACATCCCGGCCATCCCATCCCGGGAATCCCGGCACCATCCCGGCTCTCACCGCCCATCCCGGCCGGGCCCGCGATGCCGTGGAACATCCCCGGCTGAGCCTGGAGGGCTCTGGGCCCCCTCCTCGATCCCGACAATCGCGATGATCCCGGTCCCGCTGATCCCGGTGCCTCCGCGGCGCTTCCGCCTCTTTCCGTACACACTCCCAAACGTCCCTCCCCTTCCGGCAAAACTCGGCGTTTCATTGGCTCTGCCACTCCGCCGCTCTTGTTTTCTCCCCGCTGATTGGCTCTTGCGGCCGTCAATCAAAGCCGTTGCCGAGCGATGCCTCCATCTGTGTCCCCGCTATGGCCCAGTCTGCGGGGCCGCACTACGTTACCCACAATGCCTTTCTCCGCTGTTCCCGCCTCCTTTCAACAGCGATTGGCTGAGCCTCTCAGACTCTCGTCGCCGATTGGTCTTTTCAACTGTCCGTTATGGCGGTTTCCAGGCAACGCCGCCATGTTGGTTCCTCCTATGGCGGCACAGAAGGAGGCGGTGCCGCGGGAGTTGACGGCGCTCCTGTCCCCGGTGGCGAGCGAGGCCCCGCGGTTTTCAAGGACGGGTCCGAGACTGCCGCTACCGGCGCATTGCGAGGCTTAATTAACCCCGTGGCCTAATTACTGCTCGACCTAATTAGAGCCGTGTGTAGAGGACGTTTTGCCGTAGAAACTTCCCTTCCCAGAATTCCTTTCCCCACCTGTCCCGCCTTTTCCGGTATCATCTCCGCACCCTATTGGCTGGCACCCCACCCATCCCCATTTCCTCGTCGCTGATTGGCTGTCCCCCCCATCAATCTCCCCGTTGCTACGCAACACCCCCTCCACCAGCGAGCAGCATGGCGGCGCCCAGCAGCGACCCCTCCGCCTCCGCGGCGCTGTCGGAGCTGGCGGCGCTGCTCTCGCCGTCCTCCCCCGCCGCTCCCGCAGCTGCCGAGGCCGCCCTGGCGCTGTCGGGCAGCGCCTCGGGCCGGGCGCTGCTGGCGGGACACCCCGCGGCCTTGGCGGCCTTGTGCGGCCTGGCCGCCTCGGCCTCGCGTGGCTCGGAGCCCGCCTTGGCCGCGCTGGTGAACGCGTCCTCGGAGCCGGCCGCGCTGGAGCCGCTGCTCCCCGCGGTCCCTTGGCTCGCCGAGCTCCTGCCCGGCTCCGGGCCGGCCTGCGGGGTGCTGGCCAACCTGGGCCGGGACGAGGCGGCGGCGCCGCGGGTGCTGCGGGCGCTGGGCCCCGGCGCGGGGCCGCTGCTGCGGGCGCTGAGCGCGGAGCGGCCGCCGGAGGAGCTCGGGGCGCTGCTCTGCAACCTCAGCCGGGCCCCGGAGGGACGGGCCGCGCTCCTGGAGCCGTCGGGGTGAGATAAACGGGGTTTTGGTGGATTT